TCTCCCTTCCTCCTACGCTGTCCGGCCACTCTCCCTCGGCCCGCCGCCACCGCTGTTGTGGGAGGTCCAGGTGGGGACCGAGCCTCCACAGCTATCCCCGCTGAGCGCTCTGCATGAGCCCCCCTCCTCAAAGGTCAGGCCCCACAGCCATGACTCCTGCTGTTCCTGGCAAGCTGGCCGCTACGGAGGCCCCTGCCTGCTGATCGCTGGGCCCCTGGAGAAGCTGTCCACTGTGAAGGCCCCTGCCTGCTGATCGCTGGGCCCCTGGAGAAGCTGGCCGCTGTGAGGGCCCCTCCCTGCTGATTTCTGGGCCCCTGGAGAAGCTGGCCGCTGTGAGGGCCCCTGCCTGCTGATCGTTGGGCCCCTGGAGAATCTGTCCGCTGTCCGTTTCAGCTGTCCATTTCAGCTGTCCCTGGAAAGCCGCCCTGTCTGCTGATTGCTGGGTCCCTGGAAGCTGCTTGCTGCCGAGCATCCGCAAGTCGCCTACCTCCCTGGAAGCCACCTGCTGCTGAGCGTCCGCAAGTCACCTACCCCCCATGGAAGCCGCCTGCTGCTGAGCACCTGCAAGACGCCTACCGTGAGTGTCCCTAGAAGGCCATGAATTGCCCCTAGTGTGCGCACAGACTACCCCTGTCCTGAACTGTCCCTGTTGTGTGCTCAAACCACCCGTGCCCTGAACTGTCCCTATTGTGCGCACAGTCCACCCGTGCCCTGAACTGTCCCTATTTTGCGCACAGACCACCCGTGTCCTGCACTGTCCCTATTGTGTGCACAGACCACCCATGGCATGAACTGTCCCTGTTGTGCACACAGACCACCCGTTTCCTGAACTATCCCTGTTGTGCACACAGACCACCCGTTTCCTGAACTGTCCCCATTGTGCCCACAGACCACTCGTGTCCTGAACTGTCCCCATTGTGCGCACAGACCACCCGTGTCATGAACTCTTCCTATTGCACTCCCAGACTTCCCTTACTTGAACCGCCCCATGGCGTGCCCGGAGTATAGCTACCTGTGATGCCCCTCAGTGCTTGAGCCATTGCTACCTGCTGAGTCCCCGTGAGCCCGATGTCCCTAGAAAGCTGGGGGGGAGCTGTGCTGAGGCCAGACTCCACAGCTAAAGTCCCGTTGAGTCCCCATGAGCCTGATGTTGTCCCTAGCACGCTATGTTGAGGCCAGACTCCACAGCCCAAGTCCCGTTGAATCCCCGTGAGCCTGATGTCCCTAGAAAGCTGGGTGGGAGCTGTGCTGAGGCCAGACTTCACAGCTAAAGTCCCGTTGAGTCCCCGTGAGCCTGATTGTCGTCCCTAGCACGCTGTGTTTTGAGGCCAGACTCCACAGCCCAAGTCCCGCTGAGTCCCCGTGAGCCCGCTTACCGTGGGTGTCCCTACAAGCCGCACGTCGCGGAGTGCCTTGAACTGTCCTGATTCAGTATCTTTTATAGTTCAATAAAGCTTTGTGTGTTCACCATCTTCTTTGCGTGTTCTGTCCTGCCTACACTTCCGTCACATGTGAGTTGTTCAGATTTTTAGTAACATTGAATTTCTGTAAAGAATGAAGTTTTTTTTGCATAAAGGGTGTTGTATGGTAAGCCCAACAGATTTTCAAATTGAAATCTGAGAACACCCTTACCACACCCACAGACTACACTTCAATTTGTAGCAACACCCACAAGCAACACCTCCCACTACACAACTAGTAAAAGACTTTTGGAACAGAGGCAGATATTGAAGGTATAAAGACAAAATGTTTTGGCCAGTATAAGCAGAGAAATTATGCGGCATGCTTAGCACCCTGCAATAAATTGTGGGTGTGGCCAAAAGGAAATGTGTGGGAGGGTTGTAAAGTAGTATGGTTAAATAAAAACTGTCTACTCTGTTAAGGGTCAAGAGAGTGTAACAGATTACAGGGGTCAAGAGTGTGTAATGGAGAACACAGAGGTCGGGTGCAACAAGCACAACACAGGGGTCAGAAGTGCATAATGCGAGACATAGGAGTGAGGAATATGTAGCATACAGGCCAGTGTGCACAGTAGAGCCAAACATTTTAAGCTTAGGCTGTGGAGCAAGGGCGGACTGACCATTTGGAAACTCGGGAACTGCCCGAGGGCCCGGGGTCAGTAGGGGGCCCTATGAGATGCCCCTGGTACCTTTTTCATAGGATTTTTTCAGTTTGGGCAAGGACACAGGGGCCCCATGATCCCCTATTGCCCGGGGGCCCCATGAGTTGTAAGTCCGCCCCTGGCTGTGAGTGAAGCAGAGCTCTGTCATTCTTTATATCACTACCTCCGGATTTGCCACATTTGGATCAATCACCGACCGGAGCAGGGGAGGTCCATTTCAAAGAATGCCCATATAGAGCCCAGTTGCAGTGGATGTCATTTGGCTATATATCTATTTCCTGTAGGGAAAAGGATATATCTCTTGGAGGGATTTCTGCACAGGGCCTGTTTATTTCTTGCTTCTGGTGAGTGCATAGTGGTGGAGGATTGTCACAGATGTACCCTTCACAGATGTCACTTCATATCGTTGATCACCATTGATTCACACATTATTGCTGGACTTTTTTTTTTTGGACTTCATTTATTATTTATGATATTGGTTATTAGTTCACATATTTGTTTTGTTCACATAGATCAATATTAGCACTGCACCTTGGTATATTTGCTTATATTTCATCCTCTTCCAACACTGTTGCGGTCACCTCCAAGTTTGGCCCGTAATGACAGGTCAAACTGCGCTTTCCCCTTTAAACCGGGAGGGTATACTGGTACACAGATCTTCACCATCGTTACCCAGGAGCCACTCCTGATGAAGTCACATGACGTGACATAACGCGTAGGGTACACCGATGATGTCAGGCCGCAAATCGGAAGTGCACGTGCCACCATTTTGGAAAAGGGATTTCTGCACACTTCTTACAGCAAACACTGTATAGTGAGTTTTTAACCCTGTAGTTTCCTAGGAGAACACATTTTAATGTGAGTCTTACAAGATTGTTTTAAATAAAGGCTGTTTTGAGTGGCAATACTACACTATATTGAGCATTCTTTTCACATGGATGTAGAGCGATCTGTAGATGTTTAAAAGTGCTGGCTAACGGTGGTGAAGATCTGTGTACCAGTATTATATTGTTGGCACCATATTTGTATATATATTGTGCTGCATTTTTTTTATCAATGAGAAGTGTATCTAATGCTTCTTCTTCTGGTAAGGGGTCCCAGGACAAAGAAGCACTTTTCATTGGTCAAGAGGATCACGTGGTTGCACTGATAAATGTGAACTTGCCATAACAAGCATTAAGATGGACTCTCTCTCCAGGCCCTGTACAAATTTCTACACTGACCGATGTGTGCCTTAAGGTCCAGAGGCCAGGATGTTTTGAGTTAGTTCATCTTTTAATTTTTTACAAAAAAAAATGAGCATACCCTTTAAACAATTATATTTTTTTTTTCTGATGAGGTAAGCAGAAACTCAAACAAAAAAAAGTGGTTGTGGATTTGGTGTTTGTTAAAGTATTTTACACAGTGTAATGTGAAAGTTAAAATGGTTATAAAGGCAGAAGGTTTTTTGCCTTCATGCATTCTATTTGCCTTCTATGCATTCAGCTCCCCGTACCCCTCCCTTATACTCACCTGAGCCTGATATCAATCAAGCAAGGCTCTCTTGGCTCTTTCACTTCTCGTTGGCTTAGGGACAGCAGCGGGAGCCATTGCTTCCCGCTATAATAATATCACGTATTGGTCACATTTCTGCAAGAGTCTGGAATTTCAAATAGCCTGTTATCTCAGTTTTGGGACAGCAGACACCAGAACACAGGCATTTACCAGAGCTGTAAATATCTAATTGAGTTCTGGCACTGTCTCCTAACCACAAACATCTACAGGAGAAATTGGGATTGACCCAGGCCTGGACTGGCCATAGGGACACCGGTGGGCTGGGGCCATATGTCCTAATCAAAGGGCCTGTTGATGAACGGGCCACACAGTGGGAGGTAAGTGACGGCCGTGCCCTGGGCGGGGCCATCACAGACCATGGTTACCGCTCACCTCCCGCTTATGCGGCCATTCCTGTGTCTCCTCTTCCGCCCCGCCAAAGATGTCATCCTCGGTCAGTGATGACAGGGAAGGAGGATGGAGGGTACTTGACTGGTGGGGATGTCAGTGTACAGATGTACAGAGAGGAGGAGGACTCAATGCACATGGTCATCCAATCACCTGGATGACTTTGTGAAATTTTCTTCAGTTTTTTTAGCCCGGCCACCCCTAACAGAACAATGAGGAGTGGCAGACGTCTAGAGAGCTACAAGCCCTGCCCCAGGTCTATGATTAGAGCAATCATAAGCCCTACCCTTTGTATCTAATCGCTTGCGGCTCCTCCGAGTCTTACAAATGATGATTGGTTGGAGGGGCTTTACACCCGCAAATTCCCTGGTGACATTAGTGGCACAGGGTATGTGATTTCATAAACGGGAGCTGAACTAAGTAGTCTGGGGGGTCAGAAGTTGGGTGTACGGGATGTTAGTGTCTCAGGGAGTGTGCGTCTGTCAGTCTGGGGGGGTGGGGATGTCTGTAGTTTGTGCTGAGTGGAGTAAGTCTGGGGTTGATGGGCGTGGGTGGGTCAGTCTAGACCAGCGGTTCTCAACCTGTGGGTCGCGACCCCTTTGGGGGTCGAACGACACTTTCACAGGGGTCGCCTAAGACCATCGGAAAACACATATTTCCGATGGCTTTAGGAACCAAGACACCGCTCCTCTATCAGTCTCCAGGTGTGGGCGGGATGACATGCCGTCCCTGTCATCTGGACACACCCCCGGGATCAATCCTCGCCGGTGATTGGCTGCCGGAACTGTAGCTCAGGAGAGGCACACAGGCGACCAATCACCGGCGAGGTGGTGGAGCTTGGAGAGGAGGAGCCGAGCGGCACCGCGAAGATCGAGCGAGTGAAGAGGAGAAGAGCGGAGCGGAGAAGGAGAAGAGAAGGAAGACATCTGACCGGTAAGTGTCTGTACCATGGGAGAGGGAGGGAGCGAGCGAGCACGCACTATTCCTCCCACTGACACCAATGATGGGGCACTATTCCTCCCACTGACACCAATGATGGGGCACTATTCCTCTCACTGACACCAATGATGGGGCACTATTCCCCCCACTGACACCTATGATGGGGCACTATTCCCCCCACTGACACCTATGATGGGGCACTATTCCCCCCACTGACACCTATGATGGGGCACTATTCCCCCCACTGAGACCAATGATGGGGCACTATTCCTCCCACTGACACCAATGATGGGGCACTATTCCCCCCCACTGACACCTATGATGGGGCACTATTCCCCCACTGACACCTATGATGGGGCACTATTCCTCCCACTGACACCAATGATGGGGCACTATTCCTACCACTGACACCAATGATGGGGCACTATTCCCCCCACTGACACCAACGATGGGGCACTATTCCCCCCACTGACACCAACGATGGGGCACTATTCCCCCCACTGACACCAACGATGGGGCACTATTCCTCCCACTGGCACCAACGATGGGGCACTATTCCTCCCACTGACACCAACGATGGGGCACTATTCCTCCCACTGACACCAACGATGGGGCACTATTCCTCCCACTGACACCAACGATGGGGCACTATTCCTCCCACTGACACCAACGATGGGGCACTATTCCTCCCACTGACACCAACGATGGGGCACTATTCCTCCCACTGACACCAACGATGGGGCACTATTCCTCCCACTGACACCAACGATGGGGCACTATTCCTCCCACTGACACCAACGATGGGGCACTATTCCTCCCACTGACACCTATGATGGGGCACTATTCCCCCCACTGACACCTATGATGGGGCACTATTCCTCCCACTGACACCAATGATGGGGCACTATTCCCCCCACTGACACCAATGATGGGGCACTATTCCCCCCACTGACACCTATGATGGGGCACTATTCCCCCCACTGACACCTATGATGGGGCACTATTCCTACCACTGACACCTATGATGGGGCACTATTCCCCCCACTGACACCTATGATGGGGCACTATTCCTACCACTGACACCAACGATGGGGCACTATTCCCCCCACTGACACCAACGATGGGGCACTATTCCCCCCACTGACACCAACGATGGGGCACTATTCCTCCCACTGGCACCAACGATGGGGCACTATTCCTCCCACTGGCACCAACGATGGGGCACTATTCCTCCCACTGACACCAACGATGGGGCACTATTCCTCCCACTGACACCAACGATGGGGCACTATTCCTCCCACTGACACCAACGATGGGGCACTATTCCTCCCACTGACACCACGATGGGGCACTATTCCTCCCACTGACACCAACGATGGGGCACTATTCCTCCCACTGACACCAACGATGGGGCACTATTCCTCCCACTGACACCAACGATGGGGCACTATTCCTCCCACTGACACCAACGATGGGGCACTATTCCTCCCACTGACACCAACGATGGGGCACTATTCCCCCCACTGACACCTATGATGGGGGGCACTATTCCTACCACTGACACCAATGATGGGGCACTATTCCTCCCACTTACACCAATGACGTGGCACTACTCCTCCCACTGCAAAATTACAGTTATGAAGTAGCAACAAAAATAATTTTATGGCTGGGGGTCACCACAACATGAGGAACTGTATTAAAGGGTCGCGGCATTAGAAAGGTTGAGAACCACTGGTCTAGACAGTCTCTTGACAATATTGGGACTGACTGAACATGGACGCATGGCACACCTGTGTGCCTAAGGCTCCCTGCACACAGGACTGTTGTTTTTACAGTAAATCATTTTCCTGGAATAAAAAAAGAACTGAAAACAACCTATATAGTGCATGTGTTTACTCTGTTGATGTGTAGACATCCATGTGAGTATAAGTGTGCCCAATTCCTCCACCTCCCAGGAGGATCTTTTGCATGAAAATCTTCAATTAATATTCCAATTGATAATCTTGGTGACTTTTCTTGCATTTTGTTCCCAAGGGGTTGGTTTATGTGTGTACACATGTGTAAAAGTATTCAGGAGTGCTCATGGAAAAATGCTAACAAGGATTTTTTTTTTCAAATATCTGGGTGCAGTGCTAGGAGATCTGCACTGAGTTTTTTTTTTTTACATTAACAAGCGGGTAATCACCCGCTTGTTAATAGGATCCAGATCTGCAGCTCCTCCCACCCCCTGCCCTGCTGATATGATGACATTGTTGGAGGGGCGGGAGAACCTAAAGATGATGCACAGGCTGAATCCTGCCTCTGCCCTGCTGAAGGTAGGAATGTGCAAGGGAGGCAGAGCAAAAAAGGGGTGCTGTGAATACAGAGAGAAGGTGGGACATGACTGCAGGGGCACTGTGATGGGGGCAGTGATTGCTAGGGGCCCTATAGTGTAAAGGGGGACTGTAATATAAACGGGACTGTAGTGTAAAAGGGCACTTTAATCATTACAGTGCCCCTTTACAGTGCAGTCGACTTTGTATCACAGTTCCCCTTTACATTACAGTGTGGAGGACTGACTCCATGAATATCCAGTCACCAACCGCCCCCACTCCATGGAAAATTTGGCTGCTGAGTCTAAAATACCAGAGCCTAGTTTTTGTCCCAGTCCAGGCCTCAATTGACCCATCGGAAAAGAGTCACAAAATTCTTCAGTTCTGTCATCCATGGTTTGAAAGGCAATCAAACCCATTGGGAATAAACATCCTGTAAGATGTTGTACCCAGGGCTAACATGTATCTTAAAACCAGTCAGACCTGCAGCATCATTTCAGAGACTCCTGCCTCACTCACAATTTTGAAAAAAAATCTACATTAATTCATAAAATCAGATAGGACCAAGACACATTAATAATAAGTATATATTTGAATAGAGAAGATAATACTAAACAAATCAAGGTCATACATGACTAAGCTCTAGTATACAGAAGGTGAGCTGTCTCCTACCACCTGGGTGACAGGCCTATCCGAGGGATCCCATGTTTAGTATTCCTGGACATGAAATTCAATCTTTCCAGAATGTAACTTGTACATTTGAAGATATTAGTATCAGTATAAATCTGGCCACTTCTCAGCCACTTAATTACTCAGATAAATTCTGTCAGCACTCTTTTGACCGAAAATAAAAGGGAGCTTCCCTTGCAGTTGAAAGCTCTCATGTACCATTAACAAAAAGGAAGATGTGCTAAGTTTCACTGGAGTTCCACTGGACCATTTTGCTCATTGATGGAAGTCTGCTGAACCAGGACATTGTTGGGTATTCTCACCCTCAACTCCTTTTTTTTTTTCTCTGTTTCATTATGGTCTCTTTGCAACCTTCATTATCCCCTTTTTATGTAAATATTTTATTTGCACCATTTTTTACTATTCTATTATTAACAAGTTCTTGACCATGCTATAGTCATAAGACGGCTACAGCGTGGTCAGCTAGTTCTGGGAGGGTGCCCATGAACGTCCTTCTAGGGCCATATTCCCTGGGGTGCACACTGTGTGCGATCTGTGATCACTGTGTCCTTCAAACACAGCTGATCACGTGTCTAGGTAAAGGACCAATCAGAGCCACCTTTTACCATGTGATCAGCTGTGTCCAGTCACAGCTGATCACTGTGTAAATAGGAAATGTCGGTTATTGGCAGTCCTCTCCTCAAACTGACAGCACGTGAGGAGAGGAGAGCCGATAAGCAGCATTTCTCAGGGGTGCATCTACACTGGTCATCAGGGCACTGATGATCAGTGTAGCCCCATCAGTGCGGCCAATAGTGCCCATCAGTGCCCATCTGTGCTGGCCTTTCAGTGCCATCAGTGCTGGCTTTCAGTGCCAGCTGTTAGTGCCATCAGTGCTGCTTGTCAGTGCCCATCAGTGCCACCTATCAATGCCCATAAGTGCCATCTATCAGTGCTGCATATTGGTACAATTTCATTAGTGCCTCCTCATCAGTGCCCATCAGTGCAGCCTATCAATGCCCATCAGTGCAGCCTCATTAGCGTACATAGAGAAGGAGAAAAATCACTTACAAAACTTTACAACAGAAATTAAGAAACACACATACACACACCAATGAAAATTGGGCAAAAACACATCAAGAATGCACCCGAGTTGCGTTTTTGGTGCAGTTTTTGAGTCACATGTCGTTTAAAAAAAAACGCACCACAAACATAGTAAAAATGCACCAAAAAGACATACATGTTTTTGCTGCATTTTTACCACGTTTGTGGTGACTCAAATACTGCACCAAAAATGTAACTCAGGTGCATTCTTGTGAAAGTAGCCTAAAGGATGAGAAATTCATAGAGGTATCCATCAATTATAAATAAATGAATTCCACTGAAGAATGAGTGTCCCACAAGCTGCGATTAACTTTTCCTCCTTTTTTATGTATTTGGTTATTTACTGTATGTATCTTGATTTTTGCACATAGCATTTTATTTATGGAGTTATGGTTCACCGTCTTGCTTATGAATTTTAGAGACACAGTCCGCTACATTTATTTAATTTGTGCACATATACTGTTCAGCCAGCATACCAGTATGCTTTAAATCAGGGATCCTCAAACTACGGCCCGTGGGCCACATGCGGCCCGCCAAGGCCATTTATCCGGCCCGCCGGCTGGGGTGTATTTTCCGCGAGGAAGGGACACTAAGCACAGGGGTGGGCAGGGGGCTGCTGTACCTTACCTGGCTCAGGTCCTAGTCCCACAACAATCCAGTCCAGGAAGCGCTGCTCCTTCATTCACTCCGGCCACTCCCTCACTCCTGCCACTCGGCTCCGCCTCCTCACTGGTGATTGGGCGCCAGAACTGTAGCTCAGGAAAAGCACACAGGCGGCCAATCACCTGCGAGGAGGCGGAGCTGAGCGGCCCCACGAACATTGAGTGAGGGAGAGGCTGGAGTGAAGAAGGACAGCTGAGGTAAGTGTGCCGTGCTGATGGTGCTGCTGCAACCAGGTATGCTGGCTGCAGCAGCACCATGCTGGAACAGGGGTCAGCAAGTTAAGTGTCATTGGTGTCAGTGGGAGGAATAGTGCCCCATCATTGGTGTCACTGATACTAATGATGGGGCACTATTCCTCCTCCCACTGACACCAACGATGGGGCACTATTCCTCCTCCCACTGACACCAACGATGGGGCACTATTCCACCCCCTACTGACACCAGCGATGGAACACTATTCCTTCCCCCACTGACACCAATGATGGGGTACTATTCCTCCCACTGACACCAATGTTGGGACACTATTCCCCCCCACTGACACCAATGACGTACTATTCCTCCCACTGACACCAAAGATGGGGCACTATTCTTCCCACTGACACCAATGATGGGACACTATTCTTCCCACTGACACCAATGATGGGACACTATTCCTCCCACTGACACCAATGATGGGACGTTATCCCCTTCCCCCACTGACACCAATGACAGGGCACTCTTCCCCCCCACACTGACACCAATGATGGGGCACTATTCCTCCCGCCACTGACACCAACAATGGGGCACTATTCCTCCCCCCACTGACACTAATGATGGGGCACTATTCCTCCCACTGACAACAATAATGGGGCACGATTCTTCCCACTGACACCAATGATGGGGCACTATTCCTCCCACTGACACCAATGATGGGGCACTATTCCTCCCACTGACAACAATGATGGGGCACGATTCTTCCCACTGACACCAATGATGGGGCACTATTCCTCCCACTGACACCAATGATGGGGCACGTTTCTTCCCACTGACACCAATGATGGGGCACGTTTCTTCCCACTGACACCAATGATGGGGCACTATTCTTCCCACTGACACCAATGATGGGGCACTATTCTTCCCCACTGACACCAATGATGGGGCACTATTCCTCCCACTGACACCAATGATGGGGCACTATTCCTCCCACTGACACCAATGATGGGGCACTATTTCGCTCCATAAGACACACTTGGGGGGAAATGTCTGTGCTTGTTATGGAGCGGCTGGCCCAGTATTCCCGGCCCTCCAACGGTCTGAGGGACAGTGAACTGGCCCCGTTTAAAAAGTTTGAGGACCCCTGCTTTAAATGATGTGTGTAGTTTGATACACATTTGTACGGAACAGTTAGTGGTAAGATCCTATTTTTTCCTCACAGGGTTATACTTTTTTCCTTTTTTTTTTTCTTTTAGAGGTTTTATTGCCATATGCACAAAATGTACACCATAAGAATATATAAAATATATGTTGCAAAATATATACGTGAATCTCACTGCAAAGTCACATCTACGGTCAATTTCCAATTGCAATTTTACATTCCACAGTGCAGGGTAACTGGGTTCACAAAGAGAGGGAGTTGAATGAACCACTGCATATATGTAGAATTAGAAACCAACAGGAGTACATCCCCCCCCCAAAAAAAAAACCTATACATAACCATCAAGAGAATTACCAACATATAAATAAAAAGAAAGAAAAACAAAACCAAACATTTCAGAATGAACGACTTCACCCCTGTTCCATGCTATTGTAATATAATCAGGGACCGGAACCCAGAAGATGGATGTCGGCATCGGCCGGAGGAGATGGCCTGGGACACCGCAGGGTGGACTTTGTGGGAGCGAAGGACAAGATAAGTGCAAGAGGGATCCCGGAGCAACGCTGCAGTGTAATCCCGAGTGTAGCTCGGGGTTACCGATTTTGGTACTGAAAGTTTACTCCAAGCTACACTCGGGAATACTGCCAGGGAGGTTAAAGTTGTCTGATACTGCAATGGGACACTGGAAAGGGGGTATCAAGTTAAGTTGTTTGTCCAGGGGGGAACATGATCAATTTAGCCTAGTTAATGAGAAATCCAAGATCTGAGGAGTGGCTGGCTGCACGTTTGAGGGACCTCAGCCAATCTCCAACAAAAGGCTTGGCAAGGGGCTGGGACTCCCTTAATAGTATAGGAGCTTGCTCAGTAGCAGGGAGTGTGGTGGAAGAGGTGTAGAGATTTGGAGGAAGATGTGAGGTTGTGAGGAAGAATGCTGCCAGGAGACCTAGTGGGATGGGGCCTGCCTGTGAGCCTGGAGCTGGAAAGATGGAAAACCCAGAGCTCACTGGCCTCCTCAGTGAGGACCACCTGTATGGCAGGGAAAGAGCAGCCCAGCTGATAAGCCTGGTAGCAGCAGCCAAGCAGTACAGGAGAAGATCTGAGTGAGTACACCTGCACCCCCTGGGCAGACAGGGGAAGGAGCACTCTGGTGGGAAACCAGATTAGCCCTCAACTGGTTGTTTACCTCAATTAAAAGGACAGTAGCTAGATCCCTGCTCTGGAAAACTCTCCAGATAGCTGAGTATAGAGGAGCTCATCTAGGGTCTGGAGGTAGTACAACTAGGAGATGCTGGCTAGCACTCCAACAGAGACTGTGTTGCAGGTTCAGGAAGTTGTCCTCAGTTATTGGTTTTTGTGGGCATCCTATACCCCCTTACCCTATCCAAGTCCTAATCCTCTCAATAAACTACAAAACAAAAAGTTCAAGGACTGTCTTTCTGACTTTAATGCAAGCTTGTGTGGAAAATGCCAAAATGCCTGGCTGTGCAGGACTATAGGGGGACCCAAATTCATCAACAATTCCTAAGAGGGTAGTGCTACAGATCCTTTCTTAATTTTGCAGCCAATGACCAGTGAAAATAAGACAGGAGATAAAGGGCAACCCTACCTGATTGCCCGATATATTTGAAATGGGTAAGATAAGCCCGTTGACCCTTACATGAGTCATAGGTTCACAATAGAGAAGTAGAGGAGATAAATGTGGATTTGAAACCAAATTTGGCTAGCAGTGAGAAGAGATACACCCATTCCACAGAATCAAAAACTTTTTGATTGATGTACCGGCAGCCTGAGCGCGATTGTTACTGGGTCTGGTTAATTATGCAATTAACCCTTCACACTGCCACCACCTCCTTTTTGTACAGAGAAAGAGGAAACTCGGCAATATCAGCAATAACACTAGGATGATTGGATAATCGTCTGTATACACTGTCACCGCAGACAGGTTATACAGAGGTTTAAACACACATAGTAGCACTCTTCAGCGGCAGGAATTTGTGAGTTGCATTAAAGAGCTATAGAAACAGTTCAACACTTTCAGAAAGAAAGATTCATTACTAAAAGGGCAAAAGGGTGCAATAAAAATATTTACAGAAACAAGATGTAACCAATATATATAAAAATATACAGAGAGCAATAACACAGCAAAAAGATAAACAGAAAGAAGTTTAGGTAGATAAGTACTTGCCAAAAAGCTTTGGGTTAAGCAGATCAAGTTTCAGAGCAAAAGGGCACCGTCTCCCAAGTTGGTTCTGATGTTAAAAGGGAGATTTCTTCAACTTTTACTCTTAGGCCTGGCAGCCTATTTTGTAGTCCCCCAGCAGGGGGTGTCTCTGGAGCCAAGGACCAATGCCTCAATTGGGGAGGGGTGTCTGGGACCCAAACTAGAACCAAAATCTCTCCTAGCTCATATTTTGGCTCATAACTTTTCCTAGGCACAAGTAACATTCCACCTGCGGGTAGATTATTATGCAGACGCATCTGAGGAACAGTTAGATATGAAATACATACTTGAATGGTTCAAGAGATGTAATTTTCTGCTTTCCTATATATTCCAGCCAAGGAGAGTGACATATCAAACTGTTTGTCTTCTCGTGGCCAATCTGAAGATATGCCTGGTTTTTATGTAAGTCTCTCATATTCCAAGATATGAGACATAGGGGAAAAATGGATTTAAAAGTGTTATCTAGTTTCTTACTCCTCTGGAATGTCTTTGAACTCAGGGGCAGGCTTGGGTTATCCTTTTACGAGGTGCCAGATTGCTCAGCTTCTTAGACCACCAGGCACCCAGCTCAGAGATGTTTTATAGCTCGGAGCATCCTGCTGTGCTCTGGCCTGCCTATGACACTTCCAACACACACACACCGACCAAATGTCACTGTGGCTCTCAGAGAGGGAGGGGGATGATCCAAGAGGGGGAGAAGGATCTACAAGATGGAGGGTTTGGAGCAAAATGGTTGAACTGCGTCCATCTCTGTGTGCACGCTTGGAAATAGTAATAATAAAGTAAGCGCTCATATACAATACAAAGCAGCTGAACATATAGGAAAACACATAAAAGTCCCAAAATGCATAGATGAAAAATGCAGCGCTCATAAAAATGAAAAATGGTAATGATAAACACAGTCCAGTAAAAAACAGTGCTCCTTGTTTCCCAGTGTAAATGGTAAAATTTCGCACTAACCAGAACGCGCATAGGTAATGCGCATATGTATATATATATCCTGAAGATCCTCTCTCCACTTAAGTCTGGTCAGGTATGTGGCTGGGAAGGATGGAGATCCTACGCCCTCATGAGGTGAGAAGTGATTCAGCAGGTCAGAGCAATAGCGATCGAAGTAAGCCTCCAAAGGAACTGGCACAGGAATCCCCAGGGCTACAAAGATGGGAGAAGCTCCTCACAGGAGACATAGGGGAGCACTCATAGTGTAGTAATTAAAACTTTTATTGAGAACAGCACAGGTGCAGAATACAATAGAATAGCCAAGTATGAGCAAACACACTGACCCTTTTGGAAGTCAAAATGGCCGCCGGGCCTCCTCGTGGCACCGGCGGCTTGGTGTCAACGGCGTCCTGGGTCCCCACTGACGCGTTTCGTGCGCACGCACTTCTTCAGAGGTGGAACATAGGACTGCCGTGACCGCTTGGTCGTACCTAAATACCGTATTTCGCGCGTGCGCACTAATGCGGCGCCATCTTGCCGGAGTCCACGCGTCCGCAATACCCAAGTGCGCATACGCGGATGCCATTTCACCATGGACCAAGAGAGAACACAGATCACTAAGGAAC